CACCAGCCCTTCCCCCAGCCCGGCAGCCCCGCCCCCAGCCCCGCCCTCAGCTCCGCCTCCAGCCCGGCCCGCCAGCTGCGCCCCTAGGGAGGGCCACTCACTAGTGTTGATGAGGAACTGGTTGGAGACCCCAGGGTGGTCTACATCGTGGATGGCAGCCGCGAAGAGGGCGGCAAGAATCTCCAGGTCGGTGAACACGGCCTGGGGGAAGAGCGAGGGGGTCAGAGACAGACAGAATTTAGAATAATGGGGGTAAGAGAGACAGGGTAAGAGAGGGGTGGGTGGCAAAGGGAGAGGGGGGCGGGCGTCTGGAAAGATGAGTCAGGAGAGGAAGACGAGGATTAGAGAGAGGAACGAGGTCAAACAGAGATGGAGGCCAGAGACAGGGGATCATAAGATACAAACAGGAGGCCGGAAATGGGCGGTCACAGGGATGGGGCTCAGGGAGACAGAGGGAGGTGGCAGGCACTCACGTCCAGCGCAGGCGTGGCCAGCAGCACGTGGGTGGACTGCAGCACATCGGCCGCGTGCAGGCTGTTGTGGTAGGCCACGTCGGCATGGTAGTGGTCCTCCAGCGTCAGCATATATGTCACCATTGTGTCCACAGGGATGCGGAACTTCTTCAGCAGGTCTCGCTCCTGAGGGCCGGCAGGGGCAGAGCGGTGACCCCTGCCGGTTCTCAATGCCCTGCCCTGCGCCCCTCGCAGTTCAGTCCCCGACCCTCTGCTCCCATCACCTGGAATATCGTATACATGATGCAGCTAAGGGAGCGGCCTCCAGCGTAATCCGACACGCAAAAGATGTTCAGGCCCCACTTGTGCAGGTTCTCCAGTTCCTGGTGGAGATGGGACCAGAGGTCAGGAGTCTGCAAAGCCAGAGCCCTGGAGATTTTTTTCTAGGAGTCTGGAGCCCAGGTCTGAAGGAAGCACCATTATTGCTCACCCAGTGGGTGGCATATTCAGGAACGCAGGATTTACTACCCAGGTCCTACCGGGCTGGAAAATAACAAAGCAACTACAGCTACTATCTCTTGAGTGCTTATTAACCACCAAGGACTGCACTAAATACTTGTCATTTGACAGGTGAGGAAACCAAGACTCAGAAATGTGACACGGCTTCTTCAAGATCTCTCAGCTTACAAGTAGCAAAGCTGGATGGATCACTTAGGACAGCATGGTGGTGGTAACACCAAGGTCAAGGTTTCAGATCTCTTTACCAGCCAGTCTCACACACACACAAAAAGCTGGATGGAAACCCAGCTCAGCTGACCTCTATGCAAGCTCAGCCTCCAAGCTAACCTGCTCATGAGCCCCCCAGTTGGTGGTGGTGGGGGGAGGAACACAGGCTAATTTTCCATGTCTCTCAAGAATCAAGAACAGTGCCATCCCATAGTAGGTGCTCAATAAACACCAGATGACTCAATGGGGAGGACTTGCCACAGGTGGCTCAAAGACGGTTACAATAAACATCAGCTAAGTGGGCTGGCTGTTTAGCTTAGTTGGTTTGAGCACAGCCTTGCAACACCAAGGTCAAGGGTTCAGATCCCCTTACTGGACAGCTGCCAAGATTGGATTTACTATCTGCAGGAAGAGCCAGGAATCAAACCCAGGCCTGGACTGCAGCAGAACTACTGAGACTCTGTCCAGATCCACATCACCAGCCTGTACACCAACCCCTGAGTGACTGGGAGTATTGCTTGCTAAGGCTCACAGCTGCCCCTTTTTCCAGGAAAACTTCTCTTGTTCCCACAAGAGGTGCAGGGAAGGGGTGATGCTGTTCACCCCTGGGGACAGTCCCTAGCCAATGACTAATGTGGGGGTACAAAGATCCAGCACTCTTGCCTCAAGGTGGGTTCAACTCCATAATGCTGTCTATGCTCCAGAGCTCCCACGGAATCAGGCTGAGGCTGGAGTCCAGCTGAGACCATCTCCTTGCTGGGCTTAGTCACCCCTCCCTCCTGTGACCCCTCCTCATAAAGCAGGTACACCCGAATCTTCATCTCAGACTTCTATGGAAGCCATCTTAAGACATGACTCCTGCCCCTGGAGACCCCTGCCCCTCTCCAGCCCAGCCCCTGCTGAACCCCCACCCACTTGGGCCAGCAATTCTTCCTGGTCAGTCTTCACCCCAAAGCGAGGGATGCTGGAGTCGTTCAAGCTGCTGCTGCGTGTCAACTTTTTCACCCCCGTGATCTGAGACATGGGCTGGAACTGCGGCATGGGGGGTGGAGGCTGCTGGGAGGGTCTCTGTCGTGGTGCTTGCTGTTTTTCTCGCTCCTTCATCGTGGGTGATGGAATCTCCACTTCATTCTGTTTGTCTGCAGAAGATCAGGAGGCAAGTATGAGCACCCCCACTCCAGAGTCTCCCTATTCCCTCAGCCCTCTACGCATCCTGGGAAGCCTCACCCAAGAGGGCAGACCCTTTCTTGGTGTCATGCTAATGGCTACCCAGAGGCCGGAAACCACAGGGGACACAGGAATTCTTCTGGGAGGTAGTGGGCTGGAGTGGGGGTCCTGGCGCCAGCCCAGGGCTGTGGGCTGGCCCCAGTTCAATTGCCAGGTTTGGTGGGAGGGTGGCGTGGGAAGTCAGGAAGTGCAGTAGGGATGCCAGGGAGAGCTGCTGCCTGCCCCAGATACTCAGGGAAACTTCTTGGGCGGGGAAGACACCCCCATGGTGGCAGAGAGTGCTGGTGGTGGGGGGTATCATTGGGAGGAGGGAGGGCAAAATGGTCTCTGGCTCCATGCCCCCCCCCCCCCCCCCCTCCATTGGCTATAGCCAATGACAGGGTCTAATAGGGGTCATTTGCATGCCATGCTTCCATTGGCTATAGCCAATGACAGGGTCTAATAGGGGTCATTTGCATGCCATGCTTCCATTGGCTATAGCCAATGACAGGGTCTAATAGGGGTCATTTGCATGCCATGCTTCCATTGGCTATAGCCAATGACAGGGTCTAATAGGGGTCATTTGCATGCCATGCTTCCATTGGCTATAGCCAATGACAGGGTCTAATAGGGGTCATTTGCATGCCATGCTTCCATTGGCTATAGCCAATGACAGGGTCTAATAGGGGTCATTTGCATGCCATGCTTCCATTGGCTATAGCCAATGACAGGGTCTAATAGGGGTCATTTGCATGCCATGCTTCCATTGGCTATAGCCAATGACAGGGTCTAATAGGGGTCATTTGCATGCCATGCTTCCATTGGCTATAGCCAATGACAGGGTCTAATAGGGGTCATTTGCATGCCATGCTTCCATTGGCTATAGCCAATGACAGGGTCTAATAGGGGTCATTTGCATGCCATGCTTCCATTGGCTATAGCCAATGACAGGGTCTAATAGGGGTCATTTGCATGCCATGCTTCCATTGGCTATAGCCAATGACAGGGTCTAATAGGGGTCATTTGCATGCCATGCTTCCATTGGCTATAGCCAATGACAGGGTCTAATAGGGGTCATTTGCATGCCATGCTCCCATTGACGGGAGCATTTGAAATTCTGAATCCTTCTCTTGAGTTTGCTGGGTAGTCTCCTAAACTTGGGGGCCTCTAGGGTTTGGCAATAAATTGTGAAGGGGATATTATCCTGAGTTTGGAGGGATATCCTTAGCTTGGGGGCTCTTGGGTTCAAAGGTTAGGATGAGTTTGAGGTCCCCATGAGCTTAGTAAAAGATTCCTATGAATTTGGGGCATCCTACTGTATTGGGGTTCCATCAAGTTAGAAAATTCTCCCAAGTTTGGAGAATCTTTTGTAGGTTTCAAAGCTTAAGAATCCTACTGAGTTTGAGGATCTAAAGCTTTGTGAGTCAACTGATTTTGTGGGGTCACACCAAGTTTGGAGATTCTATTGATTTGGGGGGCTACTTAGCTTGGAATATTTTTAAAGTTTGGGGGTCCTTTGTGGGCTCTGGAGCACAGAGTTTACTTAAGTTTGAGAACCCTATGGAGTTTGGGCATCTCTCTTGAGCTTGGGGGAGTCTTCTGAATTTGGGGATGCCAATCCAAGTCTAGAGATTCTATTGAATTTTAGGTTCTACTGAATTTGGGAGGCTTTTCATCTCAGAGACTATTTTTAAAGTTTAGGAATTCTATTTCAGTTTGGGAAGTCTCCTAGGGTCTTGAGTTTGAGAGTTCTGTTGGGATTGCACTGAGTTTGGAGTGGCTTTTCAGCTCATATATTCAAATGCTGTTGGGGTCCTGTTGAGTTTGGAGGCATCATGACTGTGGGCACTCTTGAGCTTGGTGACTTAGACCTTTGGGGAGTTAAGAGTCAGGGTCCCTGGGTAAATGTTGGCACTAGGACCCAGGGTTAGGGCAGCCCCCCCAGCCTCTGTGTCCCTCCAACCCAGACACTGCCCTTCACTCACCCAGGAATGTTGTAGAAATGTACTCTGAGACCTGGTTTCCTGACCTGCTCATTTCTGACAAGTGTGTGAGTTCACGGTTCAGCATCCTCTTGAACTAAGGTAAAGGAGTCAAGAAGGAAGGGATGATGGGGAAATCATAATGGGGGGTGGGCGTGTGTGTCAGCACTTCCCAAGAAACTCCTGAAGACCCCAGAAGTCCCTCCTATTTCTCTGTTCAGCCAACAGAGCCCCTACCAGGCTGCTGGAGGAGAGGGGGCAGCCTTTCCTCTCCTCCCACCTCTGGATGGGGGTCCCCAGGCTTGGGGGATCAGGATCAGCATACCCCTCCAGAGGAAAGAGGGACTCCCTTCCCCACACTCCCCTTAAGGAGGAGCCAGAGGGGCACCTGTGGAAGGGAGGGCCTCCTGCCTAACAGGGAGCCAATGGGGTATCAGGAGACTCCCGTCACCATGGCAATGGGAGTCTCCTTAGCAACTCCCCCTCCAACCAGCTGCTGAGCTAGGGGAAAGGGGGGCAAGCTGGAAGCCCCTTAACCCTTGCCTTCCCAGAGCTACCCCTGGCCCAGGTCTTCCCAGACAGAGACACCAATCCCTGGGGGTCCTGGCTCCCAGCCCCCTGCCCAGTTTGAAAGAAGGGGTGCAGTGCCCAAGCTCTGGGGGAAGAGAAGGTTTGGCCAGGAGAGGGGAGAGCAGTGAGCTGAGATAACCCCAGTTTGGTCACCCAGGGGAGGGGGAGTTGGGTTCCCATCATAGCCCCCCTCCTCCAACTTCAAGGAGGTGGACAGATGCACAGATGAATGAAGTATACCCAAAACTGGGCTTGGGAGCCCCTCCTGGTCCCCCCATGACATTTCACACAGGCCTCTGCTGTGACATTGTGCATGGAGGAGAAAGGGCATTGGCTCCCCACCCCCAAGCTGTGCCAAAGCACCCCCAAAGCAGGAGCAGACTCTGTCCAGTGAGGCCAGAGGGACACTTGGCAGGAAGGGTGAGCCTGCGTGGGCCACACTGGGACAGGGTGCTCACCCATCCTGGTGCTACCAAGAGACCCGGGGTACACATAACACACACACATGCATACACATACAAGATGGACCCACAAAATCTCACACAACTGCACAGAGTCACAGTCTCCCAGTCCTACATTGTCACACACCTGAGACACACAATATGGCAGTCACTGACATTTGGGGTCACCTGCCCCCAAAATATCAGCCAGCTCTGGGCTCACAAACATGGCCCAGTACACAACACCACAGTCAGAACCATATGATCCAGACAGGGCCACACCAACACCCAGGCAAACAAGCATATGGCCAGGTGGACACACACCATCGCAGACACACAGACATCCAGACACTCATATAGTCACACCCAGCAGGAGACCCAACCCCCCTCTCCCCCCCAGGGAGAGCCACACACCCCCAGCCTCCCGCCATCCACACCCAGCCCTGGGTCACACAGAGATGATCACAAGCCTTTATCTCCAGGCCACACACGTGCACAGCTGCACACACGGCCACACAGGGGCTGGAGGGTCCAAGGTGGAGGGCCGGGTAGGTCTCCCACCCATCCTTCACCTTTCTTTCCCCTACCTGGTCCCACCAGCCCACCAGCCAGGGCTTGGAGCAGGTCTCGCAGAAGAAATCCACCAAGGGCATCTTGGAGCCTTAGCCCTGCTCAGGGCTGCCTGCTGCACACAGAGGCTGAGCTTGGGGCGTCCCGGGGTTAACAGCCTCAGGGAGGGGGGTGCTGGGCAGGTGGGAAGTGGAATGGGGAGCCGCGGAGGGGCCTGGGCCGGCCCAGCAGGGCTGGGGGCTCCCTTCCCCTCCGCGCTCCCGGAGGCAGCCCTGGTTACATGGTCCGCCAGCCCCTGGCCCTGATGGGCCCCCCCTTTGCGGTGGCTGGGTGCAGTGGCAGCAGGGGGCCCCTGCCCATGGGGGGACAGGACAAGGGTCCTGGAAGAGGCTGCGGAGGCTCGGGGCTCCGTGTGTGCACCGGTGTGTGTGCGTGTGCGAGCTCACTGCAGCACCGGCCGGCTGCATGCGATGTCAGGTGGTGCCAGGGGTGGGGGGGCGTTAAAGGGGCATCGGAGCCCACAGGCCTCAGCCAGGACCCAGGTGGGGCTGCAAGGGGAGAGGCAGGGAGGCCCACACCCCCCCGTGAGAAAATGTCCTCTCCACGGACACACTCAGAGATGGAAACACACACCCAGACACCACACACACACACACACACACACACAAATACCCTGAGGCAGTTCTTCCATGGACACCAACACACACCCAGACACTTGACATTCAAACACACACAGATACCGAAATGCTTTCAGTCCTGCAATTAAACATCACACAATCACACACACGTGCATGTGCATTCACACATACACACACACACACCTGGATATAGTCACAACTGTGCTGTCCAACACATTTATAGCCATGCAGCTGAGCACCCAGAGATACAAATGCCTGCAGACACACCCCTTCTAAGAACACAGACACACACCTAGGGACTAGCATCCAAACACCAGACACACACACGCACTCAACACACCCACAGACACTTTCAAGCAAACAGAAATATCCTTATGCCCTTGGACACAAATAAACCCCGACAAATCCATAAGGGAACACTCACACTCACTCCCACAGATACACAAATACACACACGCACACCATCGTAGAACACCCGCAGACCCATACACAGAGACACAGTCATTCTTAGATGCTTGACCCACCCTCAGGAACACAATCACCCTCAGACTCGCACGTTCTCAGACAAGCCTCCACCCACAGATGTATGCACCCCAAAACAAAGACACCCCCACCTGCACACTCATTTCCTGATAGACATCCACCCACAAGGGCTGCCACCATGCTGTACAACTCTAGGAAACATCATTCACACTGCCTGCTTTCTGAATGGTGCCCCCTGGAGTTGTGCAGTGCACGATCTGCACAGCTGTACATGGAAGGCTTGCAGCCTCCCCTGCAGCCCTGCAAACACATAGAGATACACAGATTCTCACCTGGACCAACTCACACCCGCAGACATACACACCCCTCCAGCACAGCCAGAGCCCTACACAATCACCTGTGTACCCCTAGACACACTCCACAGGTACACACCTGCATGCCACCCCTCAGTGGCGAACACACCAGTGCTGCAAGTAGGTAGCCAACAAATCAACAGCTACACAGATGCATAGACGTAGATACATACCCGCAGACCATAGATACATACAAGCCCCCCAATAGAGATGGTCACCTATAGACAGATGTACAACCAGATGCACAAACCGTAGATACATACCCGCAGACCATACAAGCATACAAGCCCCCCAATAGAGATGGTCACCTATAGACAGATGTACAACCAGATGCACAAACCCCAGTACACACCAGGCTCCTCCAGGCCTGGGAAAAGTAAGAATCTACAGGAACTACAAATCCTGAAGCTGTCCCCAAAAGGTGCGCCCAGCCCAGGAATTGGCCCTATCCATAGGCCCCACCCAGAGATTGGCCCCACCCTCATCAATAGTGGTTGGCTCCGCCCACAGGACCCACCTAGTGGTTGGCCCCACCATAGCCCTGCCCACCGGCCCCACCCAGGGATTGGCCCCGTCCCGTAGCCCCGCCCAGTAGATGGCTCCGCCCCCGTGGGAACCCAGCCCAGGAATTGGCCCTATCCATAGGCCCCACCCAGAGATTAGCCCCTCCCTCATCAATAGTGGTTGGCTCCGCCCACAGGACCCACCTAGTGGTTGGCCCCACCATAGCCCTGCCCACCGGTCCCACCCAGGGATTGGCCCCGTCCCGTAGCCCCGCCCAGTAGATGGCTCCGCCCCCGTGGGACCCCGCCCACCTTGTGTGAGGCCATCTCGCTGACAGAGCGGTAGGTCTGCATGGTCTCCAGCTGCTCCAGACACCAGTCCAGCTCCTCCAGAGTTTCCCGGGCCAACTGCTGGCATGTCTCCTCTGGGGAAGAAGCAGCCGGAGTGATGGCTGACAGGGTCCCCAGGCAGACCCCCAGAGACCCCAGCCCACAGTGATGGGGGTCCGCCAGCTGAGTGGGGTCCTGGGGAAGGGGGTGAGACAGCCACCGCGGTTGAGGCATCCCCATTGGGGCTGCAAGAGGAGCCCTTTCCCACCCCCTCGGCTTAGCTACCTGACAGCGTGGCCTTGCAGACTGGGGGTGGGCCGCCCAGCGGGGACCGCCTGCAAAGAAATGGGGCCAATGTCATTCTGGGCATCCCCAGATCCCTGCATCCCTCTCTTCGTGAGTAGTGCTAGTTTTCCTTTTTTTCTTTCTTTTTTTTTTTTCCTTTGGCAGTTGGCCGGTATGGGGATCCGAACCGTTGACCTTGGCATGTTTTTCTTTATCTGAGCACTTACTCTGGCCCAGGCACACTGCCATGTACTCTGCCTGCAGCCTCTCAATGAGCCCCACAAGAACCCATTTTACAGATGAGGAAATTGAAGCTTAAGGAGGTGAACCGGCTTCCTCAAGACCACATGGCTGATCAGTGGTAGGGTCAGGTCCTGTGTTCCCAAAGTCTCTGCTCCCTGGACAACCACCTCCCAACTCCTCTGAGAATGGCTCTGCCCCCTACCCACAAAGGGACCAGCAGCACTCAGTCACACCCCTGCCCTAAAATAATAAGAACAACTTGTATTTAGGGAGGACTTATCATGTGCAGGGCAATGTTCTAGTACTTTCTCTATACCATCTCCTGGACTCCCCACAGCAGCTGTCTAATGGAGGCATTATCATAATTCCCATTTTACTGAGGGGAAACAGAGACACCACAGGATGCCAATTGCCCAGCAAGTTGGTGTCAGGGCCTGGAGTGGTGCTGGGGCTGGGGCTGTGGCCTTACCTCCCTAGATTTTTCTTTATAAAAGCTCGTGTGTCTTAGGCTCTCAAACCACAATGACTCACTGGCTATAAGGGAGTTGTTGCCTGAACAGAGGTTCAGAGAAGTCAAGTGCTTGCCCGAGGCCACACAGCAGGGTTAAGAGCCAAACCCAGGTGTGCTTAGGCTCATGATCATGGGTGCTGGGGCCCAGCCTCGACTTACTTGTTGCTGGGAATGGGCACATTGGTCAGGAGTGAGAAGTTGCTGCGAACGCTCCGGAGACTGG